CATTGGAAGACACAAGATCTACCCACACTGGAGGAATGGCAGATGAAAATGATGGACTATATGGAACTGGCGGAAATGACTGGCAGAATCCGAGACCAGGGAGAAGAGTCGGTGGAAGAAGATTGGAAGAAATTTAAAGACTACTTACAGAAATATTGTAAAATTAATGAATGTTAGAATGATGACGGATTGAAGTTAAGCGGTTTCTAGCGGTAATGGTATAAAAGAATATGGAAAAATTGGTTTTTAATAGGTAAAAATTTAATGTTATAATATATTAAGATTAAAGATCAAGATTAAAAAGGAGGGAAAGGAATTGCTGGACTAACAAACTGAATTGGAATACAAAAGAGGGTGGTATGAGGAGGTCCGGGAAACAAGTAAATCTAAAAGAAGTGATGAAAAGATGGAATTGTTTTTAACTGTTTTTTTCTTTTTTGTACTTTGTATTTTGTATCTTTCCTTTTTATTGTTAATTTTTTTATTGATGTGATCTTTTTCTTTTGAAATGTTAATAAATATCATTTAAAAACAACAACAAAATAAGCTACTTCTCTCAAGCTACCCTAATCCTTTAGGTATCTTCTCACAAGAGGAGCGTAAAGTTTGTGAATATAGTGTATAAGCACAGAGAATATCTATGGAGGAGTGGTGTATGTTGGAATATGAGTGTGACGCAGCTGCAAACTGGCAGCTCGGTATTTACATCACAAGATGTGGCTAGCTGTGGGAAAGAATGTTCCCGGAAGTTCACAGGATTTACAAGGCTTTGTTCTGTGTGTAATATGAGACCTTCCCGTTGTGTATGTGAAGGAAGTCTGAGTCTCTTGCTCGGAGGAGACTGAACTGATCGGACATTTTTTTGTAGAGTTGTGCAGTCAGAAATAAACAAGACGTAAAAGACTTTCTGACTATCTTCTTTCTCCTGCTGGTATGCAAGGAAGAAGGGGGTGTGCATCTTACCGGCTGGGAGATGTCGCCTATCAAGATCTTCCTGGACTGCGGGGATGTCAGCCAGAGTAGATCACCGGTAAACAAGCCCCGGGATCTGGGAGAGAGGCCAGCCTCTCCCGAGGGGGGCATGTTTTCCAACAGTGTTTTAGTCTCAAGATTATTCCGAAATGTGGCATCACCAGCTCCTCTGCTTCCACATTCAGCAACACCTCCAAAAAGTCCTCAATTCAAGGCAGACTATTATCCTTTAGTTGACATATACTCTGCAGGTGACAATCCTGACTAGCCAGCTGACCTGGACCCCAAGGAACCCCATAACTCAGACAGCCCTGGGTCCTTGCACTTGAGAAATCTAGGGAAGGACCTACTTGACAGAACTGAAAAGAATTGTTTACATGTCTTCTGTGCTCTGCCATAAGAAGCCCAGAATGAAATATTCTCCCGATTTGACCTCTGACGTTCCTGCCTAATGAGTTTGAAGAAGGAACACAAGGGCTCATGCAAGTAGAACTTGACCCTTTGTGCTCCAGATCCAGCCCACCAGATATTCCAGCATGAGTTGAATTTATGGGCTGAAAAGCCACCTCCTCCCACCAGCAGGTTAATGAACCCTCTTTCCTACCAATTGGAGATGAAGAGCTTCCCCAAAGATTTGGTCCACATGCAAGAGGCAAATATGGCCACATCTGCCTGGCTTGCAATGAGAGAGCTCAAAGAACGTCAACAGGACACTCCATAGAAAGCACCAAGCATGGGGCCACTTATATGTATTAGCTACTCGTCTGCCCATGCTCTGATGTTGCAGTTTTCAGGCTTAGGGACAGGAAGGTGACTGGTTTTGGCACCAAGTTGTGTCCATAAGCCCCAGTGAGTTCAAGGGTTCTACCTTGAGGTCACTACTGGACAGACCCTGCCAGTGAGGTACCACTGTAATAGCTACTCTGCTATTTTCTGCCCATGCTCTGGGGTTGCAGTTTTCAGGCTTGGGGACAGGGTGGTGACTGGTTTTTGCACCAAGTTCTGTCCATAAGCCCCACTGAGTACAATGGGATCTACTCTCAGGTCATTACTGTGCAGAACGTGTCAGCCTTATGAAGTGGGGTGATTAGCAAACAGGGAAAATTGAAACCACTGGAGAGGTTTAGAAATGGGGCTTCTGTTGGGAAGGGGCCACCCCATTTGTGCTTCTCCAGGGGCAGGAGAATATCTAGGGCAGGAGAATCCCTGCAGGGCCTCTGAGGCTCCCTTTGCTTCTTCCTCTCTCCCAGGACCCTGCAGCTTCTTTTGGCTACTTGACTCTTCAGGAAGGATGAGTGAGACGGATCCTGTCAAGCTAGAGGAGATGGAAGAGGGAAGATGGACAGATGACCTGGTCCGGCTGTCTCCTGCATCCCTCCCCACAACCTCTGAGTGTTCCCTCCCAGGGACCTCCGAGAGATCTGGTGAGTCCCAGGGGAGTGGAGATGGGGACCTGGATGGATGGAGCCAGAGAGGAATTGGGGCTTGCTCAGGTTGGGGGTGGGGGGAGGCAGGCAGGCGGATGGAGATGGAGAAGGGGAGCACCTTTTCGGGCTCCCCCACCTACCTGGCTGCCTGCCTACGCTTTTGTCATCTGCAGGCAATTTCAGCTAGGAATAGATCACAGCTCACTGCCCGAAGCGATGTGTTGGCAGCTCAAAAGGTCTAAAACCAGTTCTGCGATCTGAATGCCCTGCCAATTACAGACAACTCACTGATCCATCGCGCAGCACTGGACTCCTTAAAGGAACCTGATCCTGCTGTGCAGTGTGAACTCAGATGGGGCCTCCGTGTGTTGCCTTTTCCTCTTCTTTTTGTATAACTTTTATTAGCTTTATAAAACAGGGAACATAGGAATAATAAATGATACAAATATGTAGGCTGAGTCTGTATATCTCAAACCTTCTCATCTGTCTACATCCTCTGTTCACAAATGTGACTTTTCCCTCCCTCTGAAGGGGGTTTATTTCCTTGTCCCAAAGCCCCCTCCCCAAAAATGAAGGCAGCATCTGGATCCCAAGGAAGAGCAGAGCTGCATATTTCCTGCGAAGTGGCCCCTCCCTGGCTTGGCAGAGAGGACAAGGGAGGACCCTCTGCTCCCTGACTTGGGGTCTCCCCACCAGGAATTATCTGAACAGGGACCCCCATGCATTCCCTGCACCCCAGGTAGTGGCATAACAAGGTCAGGGGGTACCTGGTGTGGAAAAGTTTTTGTCACCTCCCCAGTATTGACTTTTTTTTTTTTTTTGCCTACAAAAATGTTTTGACTTTATTTCATATTTTCTTACAAAGGATTGTGGATTCTGGGCCTCCGATAACAAGTAGGCCACTGTGGACAGTTACTTAAATCTACAGGATGCATTGTGTTTTGGCTTGTGTTATTTTATTTATATTTATTGTTTATTTATTTCATAAAATTTATTTTAAACCTGCAAAGTTGTTTACCAATACAAAAAACAAGAACAACACCACAGCAGTAAAATCAATAAAAGTTAACAAGCCTACTTTAAAACACAGAAAAGCTAAAATATTAAAAGAGATTAAAATTACTTCAGCTTCCTAAGCATCTGACTATGCTTGCCTAAACAAGAATGCTTTTAGCAGGTGCCAGAAAAGAGTCTAGCAAAGGCACGCGCTTTATTGCAAGAGGCGGGGAGTTCCGAAGGGCAGGTGCTGCCACACTAAACAACGCAGTGCTGGAAAGGGGGTGAAAGGGGGTGAAAGGAGGAGCTCCTGGGAGGAAAGGAGGTGCCGTGGAAATGCCATTCTAGAAGTAAAGAGCCTCCGCCTCTCACTCCTCCTCCAAACGAGAGCCGGGGGGGGGGTGTAAACATCTAGAGTGAGGGGGGAAAGTATTTGATCCCCTGCTAAATTTGGGTTTTTTGCCCTCTGACGAAGAAATGCCTAGTCCACAATATTAATGGTAGGTTTATTGTAGCTGTGAGAGACAGAATAACAACAGAGAAACCCAAAAGACAAAAGTCAAAGATTGATGAGATTATTTTTTTTGGGGGGGGGGTTCTTGTTCCTACTTTTCTCTCTTTTATTTATTCCCAATATCATCCCGATCTTAATCCTTTATCTTATCTTGACAGCCACTGGCATGCAACTTTCATCATATTTAACAGATCTATATGCAAATTAACATGCATGATGAAAATTGTGCTCTTCTTCCTGTTGTCCATCAATTGTTTTCGGTGCAGTCCCTCCTCAGAAGGCCCTATTTCATTCCACCATCTTACCTTCCAGGACTCTGGGCTGTCTTCCTGCTTTCCTTTGTTTAGTTAAAATTAAGACACATGTAATGTATTTTAACTGACTGATATTTTCCCAAACCGAAGAATCTTCTGTAAGAGACCACACTGTGCGATAGATTTCACAGTTAATACTTGTTTGGTTCCTCTAGAATCCAAGCTTGCTCCCTCCCCCTGGGCCCTAAGGGAAGATTACAAAGATCAAAGAGTCACCTTCACTTTTATAAATCCATATATGACAAAAGCCCATGCAAGCAGATGTGGTTTCCTGTTCCCCAGTTGTAATCTGTCGGTTGTCTGCAGCCCTCTTTGAGAGGGACCCAATTTTCAACCCCGTATAAATTATTTGGTGGGCAATGAATGAATCTTTTCCCACATGCCAAACACTAAGACGTTGTCTCTCTTGTATGGATTCTTTGATGGGAATTGAGATCACCACTCTGACGAAAGCTCTTTCCACATTCCAAGCACTGATAGGGTTTCTCCCCTTTATGTATTCGTTGATGGGAAGTGAGCGTCCCCCTTTGACAGAAGCTCTTTCCACATTCCAAGCACTGATAGGGTTTCTCCCCTGCATGAATTCTTTGATGGGAAGTGAGATGACTCTTTCGATTGAAGCTCTTTCCACACTCCAAGCACTGATAGGGTTTCTCCCTGTATGAATTCTTTGATGGGAAGAGAGATGGGTGCTTTGACTGAAGCTCTTTCCACACTCCAAGCACTGATAGGGTTTCTCCCCTGTATGAATTCTTTGGTGGGAAGTGAGTTCACCACTCACACGAAAGCTCTTCCCACATTCGAAGCACTGATAGGGTTTCTCCCCTTTATGAATTCTTTGATGGGAAGTGAGATTGGCTCTTTCACTGAAGCTTTTCCCACATTCGAAGCACTGATAGGGTTTCTCCCCTGTATGAATTCTTCGGTGGGAAGTGAGACCGGTGCTATGACTGAAGCATTTTCCACATTCCAAGCACTGATAGGGTTTCTCCCTGTATGTATTTGTTGATGGGAAGTGAGCGTCGCCCTTTGACAGAAGCTCTTTCCACATTCCAAGCACTGATAGGGTTTTTCCCCTGTATGAATTCTTTGATGGGAAGTGAGATGACCCTTTCGATTGAAGCTCTTTCCACATTCCAAGCACTGATAGGGTTTTCCCCCTGTATGAATTCTTTGATGGGAAGTGAGATGGGCCCTCTGGCTGAAGCTCTTTCCACACTCCAAGCACTGATATGGTTTCTCCCCTGTATGAATTCTTTGATGCACAGTGAAATTATTCTTTCGATTGAAGCTCTTTCCACATTCCAAGCACTGATAGGGCTTCTCCCCTGTATGAATTCTTTGATGAGAAGTGAGATGGGCCCTCTGGCTGAAGCTCTTTCCACACTCCAAGCACTGATACGATTTCTCCCTACTCTGTGTTATTTCGTGTGAAGTGAGGCTATTCCTTCGAATGAAGCTCTTTCTTTGATGGGAGTTGGACTGGGAGCTCTGACGGATGTTCTCTCCACACTCTGAATATTTATATGACTTCTCCGCTATCTGGATTCTGTTGTGCTCTCCCTTGTTCTTCCCTTCTAAGTCATCACCACCTGCAATGAAGAGAGATGCTAATTAGAGTCTCAGGAGGAAATGGGAGCTCCAGATTATTGAACAATGTTAATGAATGCTTGTGACAGAGGAAGATCTGAAGAGAATGAGATGTGAGGCCGTCCTATAGGTTTCACTTCCTTAGTTGGCTGGTATTAACTGAGATATTGCTTGGCTTTTATCTGGGATGGATTTTGTTCTGGCTCAGTCATGGAATCCACTCCATCTGCAATCACAACATGTTATGATCCAACAGGGAGCCTTACCAAGAGAGTCCATGATCCCACGATTCTCCTCCTTGACCTCTTTATGCTGAGCTTTCTGGTCAAGATCCAGCAACGTCCACGCCTTGTCTGTGAAACAAACAGCAACATCTTCACCTGAACACTCCCCATCAGAAGTTATTTCAATCTGGTAAGTCAAAATTTAAATTGACAGATGGCAATATATACAACTTAGAAGTATATTCAACTCGGATCAAAAGAAAGGATTTGCAAAAGAAGATTTGAAATTTAAAGTCACAGTGATAAAGAACAACAAGAAATTGTTATCCAAAACCTATAATCTTTTACTGGACTGGGAATTGATGGAGGAAGAAGTGAAAGAAACGATGATTAAATGGTCTCAGGATCTTGGACATACTATCTATCTAGAGCAATGGGAGAAACTCTGGCGAGAGGATATACGATTTACTGCCTCATATACAATTAAAGAACATTTTGTAAAGATGTTCTATAGGTGGTACTTAACGCCAGTTAAGCTGGCAAAGACATACAAATTGAAATCCAACCTCTGTTGGAGATGTGGTGGAAAAATAGGAACAACAATACATATGTGGTGGAGGTGTGAGGAAATTAAGAAATTTTGGATAGTAGTACACGAAGAACTAAAGAAGATGTGGAAAATATCAATAACAAAGAAACCAGAGACATATCTTCTTGGAGTGATAGATGAAGAGATACCACGGGGGGGGGGGGGGAAGAATTTTTCTATACGCAAGTACTGTGAGGAGAATCAGAATTTACAGGGTTAAACAGTTCTGTGTGACATCTCACATTCTGAGGCGTGGTTTTGTTCACATACGGGAATCTTTCTTTGTGTGCGAGTTACTTTCGTTTTTAGCTGTCGAGCCGAGGAGATGTCTGCTCGATCTCCAGGTTGATTTATGATGTTTTTCCGTACAATGATTAAAGACTTCTTAGATGAGCAAGAAGCCTGCGTACAGCCTTGGATTTATCACCCACCCAAGGCACGACCGCTGCTGCAAAACTCGGCTTGGAGCCAGGAAGACAGCTTCAGGCTCACAGTTGGCACGGAGAGTTGGCACAGGAAAGTGTGGCAGACGCCATTACATTCCACAAGTGCAGCTGCTAGAATAGTGATTGCTGCTCGGTGGAAGTCACAAACTATACCCACAAAGGAGGAATGGATTTGTAAACTAAATGAATATTTAATTCGGGCAAAATTAACTGCTATAAGAAGAAATGGATCCAAACTACAAGAAAGAAGATTCCACCTAAACATTAGGAAGAACTTCCTGACAGTAAGAGCTGTTTGACAGTGGAATTTGCTGCCAAGGAGTGTGGTGGAGTCTCCTTCTTTGGAGGTCTTTAAGCAGAGACTTGACAACCAAGTGGAAATGTTTTGATGAATATATGGCAAAATATTGCTCAAGGAAAGATACGCTAATATGCCTAGATTAAAATGTGAAGTACTGGATGGAAGAAAATTTAGTAAGGAAAGATAATAAGAATATGAAGATGATTTGAGAAGCTTGTAGAATGCAAAGATTATTGTAAATTGTATAATGTGGAGGAAATCCAGTGGGGGCGGAGGGAAGTGGGAGGAGGGAGAAAAGGATAATATGATGGATTGAGGAAATAGAAATGTAAATGTATGGGGGGATGGGGAGGAAATGGTGTTGGCTTTGGTACATCTGTATTGTAAAGTAATATGTGAAAACCATTAAAAATAATAATAATTTAAAAAAATTAAAACAGGAAAATATTTAAATTTATACGTAAATCTCTTTCTTCACTTTGAACCCCCCCCTCCCATTTTCATGATAAGACCAACTCTGTCTTGTTTCATTGGTAACAGAAGAGGAAAAATGACTATTACTCACTTAATCTAAGCACAACGGCCACAAGAGCTCCAGTCTAGGCATTTGGCTCTGCGATCTTGAATGTTCTCTGTTCTCTCCTGATTCCCCATTTTTTGTTTCAGTTGAAAGCAATTCATGCACCCAGAACTCATACACTGACCACTAATGATGAACTATATGTTATAGATACTCCTGCAAATTTATTCTGCTATGTTTGAGATATACAGACTCAGCCTACATATTTGTATCATCTATTATTCCTATCTTCCTTATTTTATAAAGTTAATAAAAGTTATACAAAAAGAAGAGAAAAAGGCAACACACGGAGGCCCCATCTGAGTTCACACTGCACAGCAGGATCAGGTTCCCTTAAGGAGTCCAGTGCTGCACGATGGATCAGTGAGTTGTCTGACATTGGTAGGGCATTCAGATCACAGAACTGGTTTTAGACCTTTTGAGCTGCCAATACATCGCGGTGGCCGGGGAGCTGTGATCTATTCCTAGCTCAAATTGCCTGCAGATGACAAAGGCGCAGGCAGGCAGGCAGGCAGGCAGGCAGGCAGGTGGGGAGCCCAAAAGGTGCTCCCTTCTCCATCTCCATCCGCCTGCCTGCCTCCCCCACCCCCAACCTGAGCAAGCCCCAATTCCTCTCTGGCTCCATCCATCCAGGTCCCCATCTCCACTCTCCTGGGACTCACCAGATCTCTCGGAGGTCCCTGGGAGGGAGTGCTCAGAGGTTGTGGGGAGGGATGCAGGAGACAGCCGGACCAGGTCATGCGTCCATCTTCCCTCTTCCATCTCCTCTAGCTTGACAGGATCCGTCTCACTCATCCTTCCTGAGGAGTTAAGGAGCCAAAAGAAGCTGCAGGGTCCTGGGAGAGAGGAAGAAGCAAAGGGAGCCTCAGAGGCCCTGCAGGGATTCTCCTGCCCTAGATATTCTCCTGCCCCTGGAGAAGCACAAATGGGGCAGCCCCTTCCCAACAGAAGCCCCATTTCGAAACATCTCCTGTCGTTCCAGTTTCCCCTGTTTGCTAATCACCCGACTTCGTAAGGCTGGCAGGGTCTGTCCAGTAGTGACCTCAAGGTGGAACCCTTGAACTCAGTGGGGCTTATGGACAGAACTTGGTGCAAAAACCAGTCACCACCCTGTCCCCAAGCCTGAAAACTGCAACCCCAGAGCATGGGCAGAAAATAGCACAGTAGCTATTACAGTGGTACCTCAGGTTAAGTACTTAATTCGTTCCAGAGATCCGTACTTAACCTGAAACTGTTCTTAACCTGAAGCACCACTTTAGCTAATGGGGCCTCCTGCTGCCACTGTGCCGCTGGAGCACAATTTCTGTTCTCACCCTGAAGCAAAGTTCTTAACCTGAAGCACTATTTCTGGGTTCACGGAGTCTGTAACCTGAAGCGTATGGAACCTGAGGTACCTCTGTACATGTATTGTAGGTGCCTGCATGCTTGGTTCTTTGTATGAAGAGCCCTGTTGACGCTCTTTGAGCTCTCTCATTGCAAGCCAGGCAGGTGTTTTGGCCATATTTGCCTCTTGCATGTGGACCAAATCTTTGGGGAAGCTCTTCATCTCCAATTGGTAGGAAAGAGGGTTCATTAACCTGCTGGTGGGAGGAGGTGGCTTTTCAGCCCATAAATTCAACTCATGCTGGAATATCTGGTGGGCTGGATCTGGAGCACAAAGGGTCAAGTTCTACTTGCATGAGCCCTTGTGTTCCTTCTTCAAACTTATTAGGCAGGAACGTCAGAGGTCAAATCTGAGAGTATTTCATTCTGGGCTTCTTATGGCAGAGCACAGAAGGCATGTAAACAATTCTTTTCAGTTCTGTCAGTAAGGTCCTTCCCTAGATTCCTCAACTGCAAAGACCCCAGGGTCTTTGAGTTAGGGGGTTCCTTGGGGTCTAGGTCAGCTGACTAGTCAGGATTGTCACCTGCAGAATCTTTGTCAACTAAATGGTCAAAGGCCTGGAAACGATGCCTTATGAGGAACGGCTAAGGGAGCTGGGCATGTTTAGCCTGGAGAAGAGGAGGTTAAGGGGTCATATGATAGCCATGTTCAAATATATAAAAGGATGTCACATAGAGGAGGGAGAAAGGTTGTTTTCTGCTGCTCCAGAGAAGCGGACACGGAGCAATGGATCCAAACTACAAGAAAGAAGATTCCACCTAAACATTAGGAAGAACTTCCTGACAGTAAGAGCTGTTTGACAGTGGAATTTGCTGCCAAGGAGTGTGGTGGAGTCTCCTTCTTTGGAGGTCTTTAAGCAGAGACTTGACAACCAAGTGGAAATGTTTTGATGAATATATGGCAAAATATTGCTCAAGGAAAGATACGCTAATATGCCTAGATTAAAATGTGAAGTACTGGATGGAAGAAAATTAGTAAGGAAAGATAATAAGAATATGAAGATGATTTGAGAAGGTTGTAGAATGCAAAGATTATTGTAAATTGTATAATGTGGAGGAAATCCAGTGGGGGCGGAGGGAAGTGGGAGGAGGGAGAAAAGGATAATATGATGGATTGAGGAAATAGAAATGTAAATGTATGGGGGGATGGGGAGGAAATGGTGTTGGCTTTGGTACATCTGTATTGTAAAGTAATATGTGAAAACCAATAAAAATAATAATAATTAAAAAAAATTAAAACAGGAAAATATTTAAATTTATACGTAAATCTCTTTCTTCACTTTGAACCCCCCCCTCCCATTTTCATGATAAGACCAACTCTGTCTTGTTTCATTGGTAACAGAAGAGGAAAAATGACTATTACTCACTTAATCTAAGCACAACGGCCACAAGAGCTCCAGTCTAGGCATTTGGCTCTGCGATCTTGAATGTTCTCTGTTCTCTCCTGTTTCCCCTTTTTTGTTTCAGTTGAAAGCAATTCATGCACCCAGAACTCATACACTGACCACTAATGATGAACTATATGTTATAGATACTCCTGCAAATTTATTCTGCTATGTTTGAGATATACAGGCTCGGCCTACATATTTGTATCATTTATTATTCCTATCTTCCTTGTTTTATAAAGCTAATAAAAGTTATACAAAAAGAAGAGAAAAAGGCAACACACGGAGGCCCCATCTGAGTTCACACTGCACAGCAGGATCAGGTTCCTTTAAGGAGTCCAGTGCTGCGTGATGGATCAGTGAGTTGTCTGAAATTGGTAGGGCATTCAGATCACAGAACTGGTTTTAGACCTTTTGAGCTGCCAATACATCGCAGTGGCCGGGGAGCTGTGATCTATTCCTAGCTCAAATTCCCTGCAGACGGCAAAGGCGCAGGCAGGCAGGCAGGCAGGCAGGCAGGTGGGGGAGCCCAAAAAGGTGCTCCCCTTCTCCATCTCCATCTGCCTGCTTCCTCCCACCCCCAACCTGAGCAAGCCCCAATTCCTCTCCGGCTCCATCCCTCCATGTCCCCATCTCCACTCTCCTGGAACTCACCAGATCTCTCGGAGGTCCCTGGGAGGGAACGCTCAGAGGTTGTGGGGAGGGATGCAGGAGACAGCCGGACCAGGTCAACCGTCCATCTTCCCCCTTCCATCCTCGTTAGCTTTGCAGGATCCTTCTCTTTCATCCTTCCTGAGGAGTCAAGGAGCCAAAAGAAGCTGCAGGGTCCTGGGAGGGAGGAAGAAGCAAAGGGAGCCTCAGAGGCCCTGCAGGGATTCTCCTGCCCTAGATATTCTCCTGCCCCTGGAGAAGCACAAATGGGGCAGCCCCTTCCCAACAGAAGCCCCATTTCGAAACATCTCCTGTCGTTCCAGTTTCCCCTGTTTGCTAATCACCCGACTTCGTAAGGCTGGCAGGGTCTGTCCAGTAGTGACCTCAAGGTGGAACCCTTGAACTCAGTGGGGCTTATGGACAGAACTTGGTGCAAAAACCAGTCACCACCCTGTCCCCAAGCCTGAAAACTGCAACCCCAGAGCATGGGCAGAAAATAGCACAGTAGCTATTACAGTGGTACCTCAGGTTAAGTACTTAATTCGCTCCAGAGATCCGTACTTAACCTGAAACTGTTCTTAACCTGAAGCACCACTTTAGCTAATGGGGCCTCCTGCTGCCACTGTGCCGCTGGAGCACAATTTCTGTTCTCACCCTGAAGCAAAGTTTTTAACCTGAAGCACTATTTCTGGGTTCACGGAGTCTGTAACCTGAAGCGTATGGAACCCGAGGTACCTCTGTACATGTATTGTAGGTGCCTGCATGCTTGGTTCTTTGTATGAAGAGCCCTGTTGACGCTCTTTGAGCTCTCTCATTGCAAGCCAGGCAGGTGTTTTGGCCATATTTGCCTCTTGCATGGGGACCAAATCTTTGGGGAAGCTTTTCATCTCCAATTGGTAGGAAAGAGGGTTCATTAACCTGCTGGTGGGAGGAGGTGGCTTTTCAGCCCATAAATTCAACTCACGCTGGAATATCTGGTGGGCTGGATCTGGAGCACAAAGGGTCAAGTTCTACTTGCATGAGCCCTTGTGTTCCTTCTTCAAACTCATTAGGCAGGAACGTCAGAGGTCAAATCTGGAGAATATTTCATTCTGGGCTTCTTATGGCAGAGCACAAAAGGCATGCAATCAATTCTTTTCAGTTCTGTCAAGTAGGTCCTTCCCCAGATTTCTCAAGTGCAAGGACCCAGGGCTGTCTGAGTTATGGGGTTCCTTGGGGTCCAGGTCAGCTGGCTAGTCAGGATTGTCACCTGCAGAGTATATGTCAACTAAAGCAGGATAGTCTGCCTTGGATCGAGGACTTTTTGGAGGTGTTGCTGTATGTGGAAGCAGAGGAGCTGGTGATGCCACATTTTGGAATAATCTTGAGACTGATACACCACTTCTCCTTAGATATTCTCTGTGCTTATACACCATCTTCACAAACTTTACGCTCCTCTTGTGACAAGATTTCCAAAGGCTTAGGTTAGCTTGAGAGAAGTAGCTTATTTTGAGACAGCACCCATTTCCAATTCCTTTTTATGAAAACCCTCTCCTAGTTGGTTTGGTTTTGGCTTTTGACAGGACATCAGACCATTTGATAACCTTGCATATCGTTTCATATTGATATAGGAATCTGGTGTGCAGATTCTAGCATAGTACAAGCTTCTTAGTGTTCTGTCTGGACCCAGAGCATGAGCTGCTCTTGAACTTCCGGGGTGGCGCCATCGGTAATGGCGGATTCCCTCTGATCTGGAGGGAACTGGCTCCACGGAAATAGGGTCTGCACCGCTACGGCGCAGCGGGGACCCTTCAAAAATCACAGGCGGGTGAAGCCTGTGACCGTGGGACTCGGCGGGCACCTTTGCGCCCCCCCAATCAGCAAAGGAACCCGGCAACGGGCTCCGGAGCTGAGCGGGAAGTGGCGCTGTGCTGTGAGTCGTCTGCTTCTTCCGTGGAGTGAAGCCGCGCAGCTGTTGCCGGAGAGCGCTGCCTTTTCCTGGGACAATTTGGCTTTGAAACAATGATCCGTGAGTAGGTTAACTTTCCAATTAAAGGAACTTTACAAAACTTTTGAATAATTCAGTACCGAAGCGGAGAGGTATAAAAAGGAAGTCTGCCTCCCGCTCTTGTAAACGGAGTAAAGCATTGAACTTGAAAGCGGAAGCTTTAAAAGACGTTGGAAAAGGATTATAATTCGAGCATCAAAACTGTGATTTTCCCCCCTTGACTGCAGGGGAGGAGGGGGGAGAAGGTTTGAACGTTATTTCCCTGAAAAAAGAGAGGAAGAGGAAACAAAAACCACCGCTTAAAACCCTGGAACGGGTTCTGCCGTATTGGAAACTGCGCTGTCGATGAAAGTACTTTTTGACAGCTAACTCTGCATCGGAGATACAACTTGGTTACAATATTGCTGACAGGTATCTCCTGGTTTTAAAGTAACAGATTGAGACAGAAACTGTTGTCTTTTCGGTGAATTGGGGGGCTAAAGGGAGAAGTTAATTATTTTAAGACATTTTAGACTGTTACAGTGTCCCCATAGAGGAAGTTTGAATCTGTTACAACTGCAGCTGGCTTAAGGGAATTTTCCACTTCAATTTCCCAAGGGAACTTTCCACTTCAAAACAACTCTGACTCTGACTGTGAGACTGACCCTGGCTTATATCTTGAGGGTTATGGCAGATGGGAAAGAGAAGATAGATTTGTTACAAGCAACAAGGTCTGGCAAAGTATTTCATACAGACGGTGGGCTGCAAAGAAGGGCTTCGACATCTGGCCCTCCTGGTTTACCAACAGCAACCTCATCGGCACAATCTAAACCCAAAGGCATGGCAGCTGATGATGCCCTGGCTCAGGCACTAGCTAAAATTAATGAATCTTTGGAAAGAATAAGTAAACAAGTAGCCGAGGCATCGGGTAAAATTGATCAAAACACGACAAGTATTAATCAAAATACGACAAGTATTAATAATTTGGGACAGAAGGTAAATACTAATACAGAAACTATTCAGAAACTATTACAGGAATCTACTTCGACACGTAAGACAGCCGAAGAGGCTAAAGAAATTGCTACTGCTACAGCTACTGTGGTAGAAGAGAAGATACCACCGCTACATAAACAACTTGAAGACCATAAGTCAATTTTGTCTATGATCGAGTTGAAGGAGAAACAAGTGAATTTAAGGGTCAGGGCTGTACCTGAAGTGGAGAAGGACAATTTGATTGAATTTCTTACGCAGGAATTTGCAGACTTTTGGAACCCAGATTTGGGGAAGGACAGTTTCAAGATAGTGAGTGCTTTTAGGCTTGGAAGAGGAGGGAGAAAGAACAGGGTGAGAGACTGTTTGATCACCCTCCAAACAAAAGAAGAGAGAGATAAAATCTTGAGCCTGCATTTCCAGAAGACCTTGGAAATACAACAGTCAAAAGTGGAGATATTGAAGGATATCCCGAAACATCCTTTGGACCTTAGGTCCAACTATAAAGATTTGGTTACTCTGCTGAAAAGCAACGGAATTATTTTTAGGTGGGAATTCCCTAAGGCCTATCCTTTAGCTATAAAGGAAAGAAGATAAAAATAAGATCAGAAGACGACAAAGACAAATTTTGGAGAGACCACGGAGAAGACCTGCAGAAGAAAGTCACAGGAGAGCTAAGAGAACTTGTAAGAGAAACTTTAGACATACCAGATTTATCTCTGGAACTAAAAGACCGCCTGAAAAGGTGATACCACCGACAGAACAGGAACAGGCCCTGGGTGCTGTTGGAGGAGAAGTAAAGTAGTTACATTATGGCTCTGCAACTATTAAGCTGGAATTGTAATGGCTTGAACTCCCCCCAGAAAAGGAGATCTGTGTTTCATTTATTAAAAAAGGAACAATTGGACTTGATTTGCCTACAAGAAACACATATAACAAGGCTACACAGGAAACTATTGATTAATAAAAGACTTGGGCAGGAGTTTATTTCATCGGACAAGGTTAAAAAAAGAGGGGTTGTGATTTATGCAAAGGACAGATTATCACCGAAATTTATCTTTAAAGATGACCAAGGAAGATTTGTGGCAATCGAAATTCAAACACAAGGAGAAAAAATTTTGATAGTAGGAATTTATGCACCAAATGAGGGGAAATCTGAATTTTTAAGAAGTTGCATGAGACCCTGATGGACTATCTGGATTACAACATGATTTTGATGGGAGACATGAATGGAGTGGTATCTACACATATGGACAAGGCACAAAGACAGGTAGTCACTAAGGATGGTAGACTACCGAAAACTTTTTTTGAGATGACAGACAACTTGGACTTAGTCAATATTTGGAGAACAAGGAACCCCATGGCTAAAGAAGGAACCTTCTTTTCTGAAGCCAAAATGACATGGACAAGAATTGACCAAATATGGGTAACTAGAGGAATGGCACCAAGACAAGAAAAGTGGAAATCTGCCCAAAACCTGCTCCGACCATAATGCTGTTAAGGTGGAAATGAAACTAACACCAACTGGCTCCTTTAGATGGAGGATGAATGACACCTTATTTAGAGATGAAGAAGTGCTTAAGAAGGCCAAAAACCTTGAGAGACTATTTTGAGATACATATGAGCACCAATGTGGAAAAAGAGTAATCTGGGACGCAAGCAAAGCGGTTATGAGAGGGTTCTTGATACAACAGAATGTATTAAAGAAGAGAATCCAAAATGAGAAGAAGGATAAAATATTGGAGAAAATAAAGGAAAGTGAAAAAGATTGAGAACAAAACCAAAGTCTCAAGAGATTCTGAGAGAAATAAAATTATATCAAGTGCAATATATGAAAATGATGAACCAAGAGATAGAATGGAAAATTAAACAAATGAGACAAAAGACATTTGAATCAGCTAACAAATGTGGGAAATTGTTGGCCTGGCAAATGAAAAAAAGACAAAAATTAAATACAGTTACAAATTTAGAAGTGGAAGGAAGGAATATACAGAACCCAGCTGAGATTAGAAATTGTTTCCAGAGGTACTTTAAACAACTATATACACAAGGACCACTGAAAGAAACCGATTTAGATCGATTTTTGAAAACAAATGGATTACAAAAAATCTCTCAAGAAAATAAATTAATGTTGAACTATAAAATAACTGAACAGGAGATAGAAGGTGCCATTCAAAACA